CTGCCGCGGCGGCGGCGGAGGGGATCCCTGTGGTGGAAGAAGAAGAAGGAGGGATCCCGGTGGGAAAAGAAGAAAGGATCCCGGTGGGTTTCTGCCCAGCAGCCGGTTCCCTGTGGATCTACCCCACCAACTACCCGGTGCGGGGTTACCAGCTGCGGATGGCCCGCTCCGCCCTGCTGGGCAACACGCTGGTGTGCCTGCCCACCGGGCTGGGGAAAACCTTCGTGGCCGCCGTGGTCATGTACAACTTCTACCGCTGGTTCCCCTCCGGAAAGGTGCTTTTCCTCGCCCCCACCAAACCTTTGGTGGCTCAGCAGATGGAGGCCTGTGCCAAAGTGATGGGGATCCCGGCCCGACATATGGCCGAGATGACAGGTTGGGCTTGGAGGCTGCTTGTTTTTAGCTTAAAAACAAGGCCAGGCAGCGTGAAAAGCCGCACCGAGGGGGGAAAAACCCCAAAACAATAAACTCTTTTCATTCTTTTTAAAGGGTAAGGAGGTTTTAAGGGGTTAATTTTAGGTTTTGCAACAGTGAAAGCCCCAGGTCCATCCATATAAGGGTGTTGAAGGGCTGGAACGTGTTTCCTTGGAGCTCTGGGGAGCAGCCCTGTTGTTCTTCAGAGCCTCAGGGTTCTGTGCAGGGGTGTGAATGTCTGCGTAGCAAACGTGCTCTGTGTGGATCCTCTGCCTTTTACAAACCCCATGAACTGCAGTTGCTTGCTTAGAGAAGTTGTGGCCTTACTGACTGCATCCATACCCTGCCTTTAAATGCACACCTTTGCCAGACGTGCTACATGAGCCTGCAGGAGGCTCCAGGGCAGCTTGAGCTTTCTAGCCTGATTTCAAGTGGTTCTGGATTTAGTGTTTTAATGCAAAAAACCAAACCAAAACAAAAGAACTTCCTTATAATTGCAATCACCTTTTAATTTATTTTTTTTTTCCCCCTGAAAACGGGACTAACATCAAGATGTGTGCTGATTTAAAAGGCAGTCATTTCCCAGAGCAAATGGTGTGTGTCTGCCAGCTCTGTCAGCCCTCTGCTGTTGCTCTCAGGTCATGGGGTTGTGGCTTGTCTGCAGCAGAACAGTTCACTAATGTGATGTCTTTAATTTTCAGGGGGAACCCAAGCCCTGAGTCGCAGGGAACTGTGGGCTACCAAGAGAGTCTTCTTCCTTACACCTCAAATAATGGTGAATGATCTTTCTCGTGGGACGTGTCCTGCTGTAGAGGTGAAATGTTTGGTTGTTGATGAAGCCCACAAAGCCCTTGGAAATCATGCCTACTGCCAGGTAACGCTGGAGTCACCCCACTCTTGTCTCACAATGACAGAAAAACCTTCCCTCGTAATAATTTCCATGATCTCCATAAAGTGTTGCTGTTTTCTTTGTGTTAGGAAACTTGTCCTTTAGGTCCTTAGCTTTGTTTGAGAGAGATCAAAGCCTAATACATTGTCAGTGCCTTGTTTTTAAGAAAAACCTGTATTAAAACTTGTAAGGCAAGGTGGCTTTTTTTTTTTTTCTGAATAAAAGTGTAATTTTTGTTTCACTTTTTTTTTTTTTTTTTCTGAATAAAAGTGTAATTTTTGTTTCACTTTTTTTTTTTTTTTTTCTGAATAAAAGTGTAATTTTTGTTTCACTTTTTTTTTTTTTTTTTCTGAATAAAAGTGTAATTTTTGTTTCACTTTTTTTTTTTTTTTTTTTACTGAAGCAATTAAAAAATACTTTGCTGTTTCTTTCAGCTGTGTTTGTAGCTGCAGGTGTACTCTGGTGTGTTTGCTGGAGCTCATTTATGGGGGAGGCTTTTTTTTTGGCAAAGTTCTTTAACTTACTAAAATGAGTTCAAGGTTTTATTTCTAAAATTGGGTTTTGTCTTGATTAGCAAGGAGTTTGTTTTGTTGTCTTGGGTTAATCTTCTCATAGCAGTATGTAAACTGAAAGAACGTTACAGTTTTATAGACTGGAGAAACTGACTGGAGGTATCTGGAGCTGTGTCTAGTTGCTTACTAGGCCTGTTAGAAGAAATCAGGTGTTGGTCAGTGCTTGTCTAACCTGGCATGCTGGAAAAGAGATGGGATCTTCCCAAGTTAAAGCAGTGCTGGTTGGTTTGCCAGTGTTGCAGTTCTCTTCTATCATCTTCAGAACTGTAGCAATGTCATTTTCCAAGAACTTAAGCTCATAGGTTGTTTTACTTTGAAAAATTGTACCTTTTTTCCTTAAAATAGTGTCCTGTTATTCAACTTACTCTGTAACACAGAGCCAGGATTTGTAGTCATTGGCCTTTGGGCCTTCTTGGCTACAGCTGGGACAAATCTCTTCCATCAGCCCTCATCAGTCCCCACAGCTGTGAGATCAGCAGGCTTTGTTCTCTGCTTTAGCTCTACCTTTGCATGGGTTTCAGCAGAACTATCAGCACAAATTGAATTCCTCTGTACTCTCCATTCACTTATTCTCTGTAGCTTTTCTGTTCTATTATTGGTAATTGTGGTTGTTGGTCACTGGCAGAATTTGGCTCTGTGGGAAAACAAAGGAGGGAGGCAATTTGGTTGCTGCTAGACTGCTCAGCAACTGTTGCACTTGTTTTGGTCTCAGGGAGTGCTGCAGAATGAGAATTTGGGAGGTCTGAGGAATATTCACCCATTTTCCCCATTGAGAAACAGATTCAGTCAGGCTCTCCCATGTATAAAATGGTAACTTTCAGGTCATGTACTGATATGAGGAGATTAACCCAAGAGTAAGTGTGCTGTTAATCTTTTTGTTAAATAACTGAAAAGTCGTTTCATAATCTACCAAGGTTGTTCTGCTGAATGGGAGTAAGATAATATACTTAAGATGTAGTGGTTTTGGATAAAATTGTTATAAGCTAAACACTTCCTGTTTGAATTTAGATGTACTCTTTTTGGAATATTTTTCAAACTTTTTCTATGTAGTGGGTATTTCCATCAACATAGTTTGTATAAGCAGATAATCTCCTTTAAGGATATTCATGGAAACTTTCCTGTTCTTAGGTTGTGAGGGAACTAGGCATATACACTAAGCAGTTTCGGATCCTGGCCCTAAGTGCCACACCAGGCAGTGATACCAAGGTGAGTCACATCTGCTTCCATGGTTGGAATAATGCAGTTTCAGCAGAACCTGTGTTTGGTACCAGCTTGAATAGTGGTATCCCTGCAGGATACTGAAGTCTATTAGAATTCCACACAAAATCTGACTCTCTTTACAGTCCATTTAGTCGTTGAGGGATTGTCTTTTTCACGCTATAGACCTTGTACTATTTATTTCCTGACCTTTCCAAAAGGAAATAATACCTTTTGGATTTTGGGAATACAAACCTACTTGAACCAAAAGGACCACATGCTCAAGGCAAAATGGCTTTCATCCTCTGTTCAGTGCAGTGTCCTGGAAACATGTCAGTGTGGCTTAGCTTTTCAGTCTGGGGCAGGTGGACATCTATGTTCAGGTTAAGCTCCTGGCTTCAGGTTACTTCTCATCAGGTGATTTCATAGTACAGGGAAAGCCAAAGGGCAAGTTCTGTCCCTCTTGCCCTGGTGTGGTTGCATGCTTTTTGCATTCCTGAGCTTACTAGCCTAGCTCCTTGTACACTGCTGGGGATCTTTACGTGGAGAGGTTTTCATTTTTCATCTCTAGGCACTAGGTACCTTTACCTGACAATTATATTCAAGACCTGTTGATACAGATACAGAAATAGTTACTTTCACATGGTACTGATCTGTATTGTTGGAGTGTTAACAAGCACCTCCAGTGGTTTTTGTGGCTTCTCAAACAGGCTGTGCAGCAAGTCATTTCCAACCTGCTCATTGCTCAGATAGAGCTGTGTACTGAGGATTCTCCAGAAATCCAGCCTTATTCTCACGAACGACAAGTGGAAAAAATTGTTGTTCCACTTGGTGAAGAATTGGTAGACATCCAGAATGCTTACATCCAGGTGAGTCACTGCATTTCTTTAGTGTTAAATGCACAGTGTCAGTGAAAGCACTATCTCCCTTCCTGTTCTAACCTCTCTCTAGGTTAGCAGTAATTCACAAAGGTAACACTTTCCTATGGAATTAACTTTGCCTTTGAGTACCAAGCAAAGAAAAACTTGGTTTCAAATACAGCAGCTGCTGTTTCACTTTGCAACCATGATACCTGTTACCTTGCAATAACTTTAAAGGCTCTGGTAGAAAACTGTCAGTTGAATTAGTTTTCAAATCCTTTGTCAGAAGTACTTCAAAGCTGTTGTGAGACCTAACAGGAGGGCTCCTTAATTTGACTGTGCAGATGTTGCCAGTGGCCATGCCAGTGTTGTCCTGGTCATTGCCGGCCTTGTGACAACTGGGTATTGACTAAAACATTTTCTCTGACCAAGAACATTCTGTAGAGTTTTAAGTAATCTGTAAGTGTACTTAATTATTCTTGGCTTTTTTTGTTTGTTTGGGCTTGGTGGTTTTTGTTTTTTTCTCTTGAAAGCTTTTTTCTTTTACTTTTTACTAGTAGGTAATGTCCAAATATAGGACAGATGAGCAGGACTTAGAACTATTAGCCAGGCAATGATGCTTTTAATGTGTCACTTGGTGAGGTACTAGTAGACAAATGGTATTGCATAAGATACCACTTTTAGAAGTTCAACATGTTTGTTCTTTTTCTGGTAAGAGACATAAAAAAAAATAAGGATTAAGTCAGTATCAGACTGTTGGCCTTGGAGTATGTTTTTAGTAAAAGTTTAAGGATTTTGGTGTCATATATGTGAAGACCATTGGGATACAAACTTGTTTGTTCATTTTCTAGACTGAATCAGATCAGTTGTTTTCAAACCAGAAGCCTAGGAGTGTATTTAAATGAGGAAGTTCCACTGATTAGCTGACAAGAACTTTAAAGGTAGTTTTGTGTCACTGCAGGTGCCTCTGAATGCTCACATTGAATGCAGGGATTTAATTTGTGGTGTTTTACTTGAGATTTAAACCGAAGTGAACATGTAGGTGAGGTTAATCTGGTGTCATTGGGGAGTACAGACAAACTCTGGCTACACTGTCACTGTGGCTTTGCTGGTTTCCATTTCCTTTGTTCAGTTTGGTGTTTGTATTGCTTCTGCTTTACTTAGAATAGAGGGCTGTACCCACCCAGACAACACGGGGGTGAAAGGAGGGTGCCCCAATGTTTGTGGGCAAGTTGAGCCTTAGTCTTGGAGATGTGAGCACTTTCAAAAGTGGCTGCTGCCCCTCAGTTCTGGAGGTGTTCCTGGAGTCCTGCAGTGTTCTGCAGCACAGCAATGGACCTCAGCTGTGCCCTGGGGCTTGGTGACCCTGTTGGCCTGTGCCAACTGCTTCTGAGCAGTGAGAGATGGGGATAGATGGGTGAGTGCAGCCACAGAAGCAACTTGGACATGTTGCATTATCCTTGTCCCCTGTCAAAAGAATCAGTTGTTGAAGTCTGTTCTGAATGGCATCAGGATTTAGGGGAAAATTTCAGTACATTCCCTAGGGCTTGATTCTGGAGTGAAACCTACCCCAGCCTGTGCTGCAGTAGGAGCTGTGGGAGACTGTACTGGATGTTGACAGAAAGGATGGCCTCTGCAGTTAGTCTGGCTGCAGAACACAGATGCATAGCTACAAATATATATGTTTAGTTCAAAGAAACGTATGGTTTTTGGCTCTTGGTGCAACCATTTCAAATTTGGGGCTTAATTTGTTTTTGTAAAATTGGAAGAGTAGCTTGTGACTTGTGCTGTTCCCATTCTGAGGACAGACAGCAAAAGGACTTGTATGTCTATTGCAAAAATGAAAGCCAGATGTAGTCTGCACAATAAAATAATTATCTTTAATTTTGACAAACAGTAACAGTAAACAAGACAACATTTCAGTGAAAATGAAGGACTGTAAAACAGCACAATGCAACAATGCTGAAAAAACAATATTTATGGTTGTGTCCATACACTAAGCAAGGCCCTGAGTATCACAATAGCTGGAATAAACTTTTTAGGCACTAATGCTTGTTCAAAAAATACACAGTATGCAGGACAAAACTTATCTGTTAAGGCTGCATCATTTAATCTTCCAAAAGGATGGGTGAATTCTGTTTTATTATCTCCTTTGAACAGTAGAAATTAGAAATGAAAATCCATTAATTAATGGCTTACAAAGTAGAGCCACAGATGGATAATTACACACCTATCCTGATAACAGGAGTTCTATAATCAAGCTTGACGTGATGTTTGCAAGCTTTGTAAAATTATATATTTGAGCAGTGTGATGTTTCCTTGGCATTCACTGGTGTCACTGTGAAGTAAGCTTAGTGTGTCAATGAAAACGTGCAGTTCCTGGTGCCTGTGCTGACCAGAGCCATTTACAGAAGCTGGTACAACAATATTCCAGAGCCATAAAGTGTATCTTCAAACTCGAGATTAATTGGTTCTTTCTCAGCAGCAGAAGCCATCTAACGTAAGTCAAAATAAATACTATCCTGGAATTCACAGTTTTACATTAAACACAAAACACTTTGCTGTAGTTGGGATGTCAGCACATTCAGATAATACCTTATTTTTCTGTTTCAGTCACAAGAATGTTTCTATAACATACCCACAAGTAGCTGAGCCACAAGTATTTAGGGGAAGGTTGCCTATGGAAAGAGACATCAAATACATCAAATGCCTTTTGCAGTAGACGTTTAAAATGTAAAGTATGTACAAAGCGGTACTTGGTGGTGAGAGGATTTACCTGCTTCCAGTAGCTATTTGACATTTGTTGTGCCAAAGCATTGAAATACTCTAACTGTGAAAAGCAATCAAATTGCAGAGACTTATCTAATTTGCCATAATGTCTTGTCAAAGGTGAAAATTGGTTTAATTTGCTCTTATAAAAATCTTGGAGGAGAGTGAGGGCAAAACAAAAACTGTTATTTAATGCCTCCCTGGGCCCTCTACTAAAGTCATTAAAAAAACCTCACTTCTATTGTTTTCCATTAATTTATTAGCTTTTTCTTTAATACTGGATGCCATTTCCAACAATCTGAGGAAATGTTAAAAATCTGATAGGAAACAATGAAACATGTTGAAAAGGAAGTCTGAATTTTCATCCCTGGCTATGATCCTGTATCTTTAACCAATTGAGAGGAGTAAAAGACATGACAGTTGTCTTCATTGTTGTCTCCTGCCAAGGAAGAAATACCTTGATGTGCGTTTAACTTGGCACATCAGACAAAAGCAGTTCTTACTTGTGACCTCAACTGGCACAAGCATTTTTGCTGTCACCTGGCAAGCCAGATGTGACAGCTTTCTGGTTAGATTAAGACAGACCCCCTAGCCCACAGTATTTTTTGAGATCCTCCTGTCAGTTTAGCATCCAATTAATGTGGAAATACAAATGTCTTCTGGCCTAGTGTGAGGTCTGAGCAGCTGGGGATATCAGACACTCAGAAGAAGGAAGTGAGGATAGCTTTTTGTTTGGTTTTTGTTGTGTGGTTGGTTTGGTTTGGTTTTGCTCCACAAAGACTATCAGTTTGCATTAAAACTAAGTCTCTTTTTTTTCCCCTCTATCTCTTTTGCTGTGGGTTTGTTTGTTTTGTTCCCTTCTCCTTGCTGTCTCCCCCAGTAATCTCTGGGCAGCCACCACCAGAGAGCACCTTGGTCACTGTAGCAGTGCCAGCAGGTACTCTGATCCTGCTGCTCTGCAAGACGTTTTAGGTCAAGCGTAAAGTCAGTTTTGTGCAGCAGAGAGCCTTGTTGGAACCTGAAGGCCAAACTTCTCCAGACCTGTCTGTTTATTCAGCCAGAAGTACTGCATGAATCCACTTTGTTTGCCAGTGAACTCTGCTGCAAGCCAGCAGACACTGACTGGTTGCTGTTTTGTATGTTGGGATTGAGTAACACAAAAGCTCTATTTAAAGCCTAAATCCTGTAATCAATAAATAATGCTGATGATATACTTAATGAAATTTTATATAAAAAGCCATGTACTGCTATTAAAATTAAACTCTACCGTCATGTCTCCAAGGGGAGATGTTAAGAAGGGATTTTTGAGAGCAAAACTGTTTGCTACCCTGATTCTAAAGTGCAGTAGGTGCTCTGGAGCTGTGGTGCACAGCAGGGGTGCTGCCTGCAGGTTTGCTGATGCACCTAGGACTGTGTGAGCTTGTCTTTCTGTCACAGCGTGCTAGACTAGCAGTTGTCTACTTCAAGAATTATCACATAGATAAAGAAACAAGCTACCACAGGGATAACTAGGTATTAGGAAGAAAAATTCTCACAGTGAGGGTGGTCAAATAATGGAACAGGGCCCAGAAGAGTTAGGGGCTCCTTGTCCCTGATGGAAATGGTCAAAATCCAGCTGTGTGAGGCCCTGAGCAGCCTGCTCTGCCAGTAGCACTGGCACTTCCTCAGCAGAGGGCAGGACCAGGTGACTGCCACAGGTCACTTCCAGCTGAAAGTTTTGTCTGTGATTCTGTGAAATATTTGCATCTTTTATAACACTAATAGTGTGGTATTGCCAGAAGAGTGGCAAAAGTACTGAAAAATTACTGCAGCTGCAGTGTTTTAACATTCAGCATGTTATAAGATGAAAGTGTTCAGAAAATTGAAGAGTTAAGAATAAACATTTTCTATTTAGGAATGTCAAGTACAGTCATGGAATTTCTGTGAGTGTACATTCAATCATTGAATGCCAGGTTGGAAGAAACCTCAAGGATCATCTGGTCCAATCTTTCACAGCAAAAGCACAGTCTAGACAGGATGGCCCAGCACCCTGTCCAGCTGAACCTTAACGATGTCCAATGTTGGGGAATGAATCTTAAAAATTAAGGTTACCTGTAACTTTTGCTATTGAAACTGTAATGAGCATTGGGACTGTTCTGCCTTCTTGGTCTCTTCTCAAGGTTAGAAGTACTTTGGTTGAATGCTTTTTGAGGTAAGCATTAAGAATCTAACCCACAGATGATGACACTAAAGCAGTTGGCATTGGCCTGGTTTTACACCTCTTGTCTCATCCTGGTGGTTTAAATCTGGTAGTTCTCTTCAGAAATGAAGACCTGAACATTGTCTTTCTGAAGCATAGCCAGCGTGTCTGAGGTGGTTGGAATGTGAAACTGAAACACTGAAAGCCCCAGCAGGGTCTTTGTGTAGCTGGTGCAGCACGGGGTGCCCAGAGCAGGCCAGGGGCTCCAGGGTCTCCCCTAGGACCATCCCAAGCCACCAGCAGTCTAGAGATGCTAATAAGTGGATGAGGAGAGAGGTCTCTGTCTCCTGTACCTTGTAAAAAAAAAAGTGTACTAACTTTTGAAGTGTTAAAAATCTCTGTAAAGATTGAGTAAAACCTGTAAAAGTTGACATAGGAAGCTGTGTGTTTCAGGTGTTACCTCTGATTGCTGGAGTGATTGCCTTGCTAAACCGGCTAAAAGCCACATGTCTAAAATCTTGAAGGGTTTGATATCTCGTCTTGCATGGCTCTGCCAGTGAACCAGAATGGATTCTGGGAACTGACAGGCACCAGCAATGGGAGGCTAGGGTCTTTGGAGGAACCAGATCTCGTTGTGTCTGTTGGCAGCAGCTGGGTTTGTGTATCCTGCAATGATGAATGTGTCCTGCAAACATAACTCGGGACTCTCCAGAATTTCCGCCAACAGGTTTATTTCTCTCATAATAGAGTCTTCATTGGTGATTCCTCTGAAGCTCCTGTAACAATTCATTTCATATCAAGCTCTTTTTAAAACCCCCAGTTTTTCCAGAGCCTAGAAGTGCCTTCTTCTAAATTAGTCAATCATGTTTCACAAATGATACTACTTGACTGATCTCAAACACATAACAATTTTTTCTTAAAATTTCAGTGATGTCAGACACTTTGTTTCCATCTACACAAAACATTGTGTTTTCAGATGCTATTGTATCTCACACTTACAGATGCATCATTTTCCCAAGTAAGTTAGTAACCATTTTTTCCCCGAATATCCCAGTCCCATGAAGCAGGCAGGATTTTTAACTTTTTTCTTTTTTCTTTTTTTAACAATTACTCAAAATCAGGCTTTACTGTTTGCTGGCTTCTGGAACTTGTTTTAAAAGATGTAATGTGCCCAAACTGAAAACAGCATTAGAACAGTATGAAAATGTTTCTTACCTACTATAAACAATAGTAGAAGGCCATTCTTCAATGATGATGTCAGAGTCAAACGGATGAGGGGGCTCGTCCTGCAGCACTTCAGGCAGGTAATAAGCTACTGTCACTGACTGTGTCATCTCCGACTGAGACTCGTTTGTATGGACTATGGTCACAATGGGTATTGTTATCCCCAAGTACAGCCCTGAGGAGACAGATGGTGGCTTTTAGAAAAGGTAAAGGAAGGTCTGCATCATGTGCATGACTTTTGAACCCGTACTAATATGAGTACCGTGGAGCAGAAAGAGTTTCATTGCTAAAAGAAATTCTGTAGGATGTTTTAGAAAAGAGGGTCTTGTATTCTGAGTGGAACCAGTGTTTTATTATTCCTTGTAGTTTGTGTGTGTAAAACCTACATGTACAGATTTGTATGCATGTGTGTCTAACATGTGGTATGTTGTAAGCTCTCCTATCTTCATGTAGGGCAAAGAGTTTGATTTCTTTCCCCTTATTTATTTTGTAAACTGACCTTGTATTATGTTTTAAATATCTGAGTGAAGAATGTAGGCAAGATCAGGGGCTGCGTTGTGAGCATCTAGAAGTTCTGTTACCAAACATTTTCGTGATGCCATAGGGAAAGGTTGGCTGCTGTGGCTGTGCAGGTAACAGGGATGACTGGAAGTGGGAAGTGTTGCTTCTATACTCAGTCTAAAAACAAAACTGTGCTGTGCTGGAGCCAGGTGTTAAAAGAATGGGGAGAGCAGGGAAAATACCTGGTTAAGGAAAAGCTTTCATGATCATTGTTTTTAGTTTCTTGTAAAGGAAATTAAGGGTTGACTTGAATACAACATATGTGCTACTACAGAATGACACTGGGTACTGCAATGCTTCTTAACTGGAGAACGAGGGAAAAAATAACTGATTGCTGAAAGCTGGAAATAGATTGAGTGGGACTGGAAACAAGGTGCACATTTTTCATGCAGACACAAGCTGTTCATGTGGTGAACTTGCCATTGTTTTAAAGTACTTGAGTTAAAACTGGATTATTTTTCTGGAAAGTATACTTCAGACACACAGATACTTGGTGTCCATTCAGATGCACACAAGCTGAGTATCATGAACTAAACAGGAGGCAAAACAATGTGGTCTCTGGCATTCAATCTGAATAGGTTCTTAGGATACACCGTTTCAGTGCTGCTGTGAAAACTAAACCATTACAATTCTGTAGCAAAATGTATATCTGACAGCCTCCAAAGCCAGGTAGTGTCAGTTCCAGGCAGCTGTAATGGCCTTGGAGCCCTTGGAAACAGAGATTGCTCCCTGCAGATGTTCCCTTCTAGCACATGTGCAGAGGGAGCAATACTTTGGTTTAGAACCTGCTGGAAAGGCTCTGTTCCAGGGAAAGGTCCAGATAGACTGGGTGGAGCATTTGGGAAAAGCTAATAAAAGTATCTCCCCAAGCAGGAGGAGCTAGTGCAGAAATACAATGTTTTAACTTTCAGGTAGAATTGTGGTACTAATTACCTGAGGAATTCTGCTCACAAATGTACCTCATAAGCTTCATGAATCCAAGGCATATGCTCTGCTCATACTGTTTCTCTTTCATTTTTATACAAGCCCACTTGGCCTTCCCGTACTGACGCTTTTCGTAGAGCAGATCTCCAAGCTGCAAACACAGGAAAAGAGTAATTTTCTTTTTGAAGTTAATCACCTAAAAACCCCAAGCATACAACTAAAATTCAAGCAATATTCTAGTGCTTCACTTACAACATAAAGAAACTGACCTCTCTAGGAGTCTGACCAGGAGAATGGCAATGGAATTATTTCAAGGTAGAGCCAGCCATACCTGGAGCACATACTGTTTGATTCCTAGTTCACATGCACTTCATGTCAAGGTCCAGGCTGGTCTATAATAAGCAGATATCCCAAACCAAGGCAATGTTTGCGTCTTGCTTGAGTACAAAAATAATTCCATCTTTTTTAAACTGTCAGTGAAACGATCTTGTAAGTAACATGTGAATTTCAGTCCTTCCTCAGGTAAATCAAGAAGGGATATGCTGCTGATCTTGGGTCAGAATTGATTTCAGCAGGCTGCTAGGTGGTTCTCCTTTAGCATAAGGAACTGCCATGTTTTGGTCTTGCAGTATAAAACACTTATTTGCAATTAACCTTATTTTTTATCTGCAGTTATTACAGTAGTACTGAGAAATTGCTTTCAAGCATTTAAATGCAACATAGTCAGGAGTCCCAAACTGTTTAGTTGAAATACACTCAATCAAATAGTGATATTTTAATTATATAGATCTACTTAAATGTGACAAGAATTCTTCATACGTGGTTAGTAAAGGTTTTCTTGATTTGTCATATCTTTAAGGCTAGACAATAGTTTGCACATTTCCTCAGCTGCAAGCATTTTGCTGGACATGAATTTCTTATCTTCATGAGAAGATAATACGATTTTGATAAGATGAATTTCCAAATTGCTGCTTTGTTTGAGCATGACCATGATACAAAAGTACATTTGGTTTTAAATTCAGATATTAATCTCTTCCAAGTACTAAGTTTTTATTGACATGATTGTGTAAAAAAAGCAAGTGCATTGACTTAAATGAAGAAAATGTGTTTTATTTCAAATGTCAAAGTATGAGGGGATTTTGTTAAAATAACTATAAAATGTCACAAATACTGTAATTTCTGGCCTTCTGCTGACATTCCTGTTAGTTTCTGCCTTAGAAAAAGAAAACTTCATGCATGTAAAAATGGTGAGATGTTATAAAGAAAATGTTATTAACCTAGCTGTGCATTTCTGATGTTAAACATGAAAATAGTTTTAGAAAGAGACATTTTTGCAAGCTAGATGCAAGTACTGAAAACACGGTTAAAACCTCCCCTGGGAAGGGCAAGGGTACCTTTTCTTTGCGCTGGATGAGAGTAAATGGGATGGTCTGTCTCTCCTGGGGGTTGTTATTCCTGGTCAGCTGCTGAATTGGCTCTGCCATGTCTGCAAGGAAAGAACACATTTCCTGTTGGAGACCTGAAGCTGTAGAAATAGGAGTGAAATGTATTTCCTTCTTAGTTAAGCTTCAGGGGACTTTGCAACAAGTTTAGTTTGCTCTTCAGTATTCATAGGGCTAATAAGCTTCTGTGTCCAGGAGGGAACTGGCTTCCCTCTCCCACTCCTGCTGCACTTGTGGAAGGGTTTTGTGTTTTTGGGCTCTGTGCAGGTGTTGCCAATTCTAGCAACTCGCAATGCTGGATTAATGTGTATCCACAGGAAGAAGCAAATTGATTTGGCAGCTCCTGTTGGCAGGTTCAAGGAAATACTACTGTGGAAGCTTGATCATTCCCAAAGATGTTTTATGTCTGGTGCTCAACTGCAGCATTTGATATTCCACATGTGTTAGTGCTGCTCAATAGCCAGGACCTGTGTCACCTAGAAGCTGTGTTGCAGCAGTTATAACTGATATAGGTATATATGTTTATATATATATAACTACATATATTTATATAACACATATATATAGTTATAGTCATAACAGCTGCTGTCCAGCTGTCTCAGGGAGTGTTATAACTGAACCTGGTGGGGAGTGCATTCCAGTTGGGGTGATCTAGAATCTGCACGTGTGAAGTGGAGTTATTGGTCTTAAGTGAATTGTATAATATTTATTTTTTGTGATGCAGGCCCTTCTAGTAATCCCTCATGCAAGGGGAGGGCTTCACAATAAAAGGCAAGCAAGTGTCTTCATTAAGAAGTAGAAGAGAACATGAGCTTTTGTTTGTAGCTTCAGACGGAGACTTCCCAGAGCAGGACACAGACTGGGCTATGCCAGCAAGGCTCTAGCCAGCAGGTCAAGGGGGGTGACTGTTCTGTTTGGTTCTCATGAAGCTGTATTTCATGTGCTGGGCCTAGTTTGGGGCTCCATGGTGCAGCATTGGCACTGATGAACTTTAGATACTTTGGTGGAGGGTGGCCTGGCTGGTTAGGGCATGATGAAGAGCAGAAGGGGCTGCGAGAGCCCCATGTGCTCACACTGGAGAGGAGAAAGTCAAGGTGTAGAGGGGACACAGAAGTGAAGAAACTAGAGATGGGGGAGGAGAAAAGTGTCCTGCTAAGTTAAGTAAATACAAGGTGGGAAAACCTAAATTTCCTGAATATTATCAGACAGGCTTGAAAACTCTGATGAAGAAACTAGAGATGGGGGAGGAGAAAAGTTGTCCTGCTAAGTTAAATAAATACAAGGTGGGAAAACCTAAAATTCCTGAATATTATCAGACAGGCTTGGAAACTCTGGATATAAGGTTAGTCTTAGGAATGGAAACCCTCTCTTTCAAAAGAGTTAGTTCCTTGCCTTTCACAGTTGAAATACTACAGGCATTTTTGTACTTCCATAGAGGATTAGAAACCTAATTTTTTATGTACAGTGTTTGAAAATCTGGATGTGAATTACTGCCATACTGCCTCATGCTATATATCAGACATGCAAGAAAAGGACTAATGTTTCAAGTGAAATAAAAGCCCTTCTCTTGGGCATTTTAAGTGCCTCGGTGTCTTCAGTGGAAAAGACAGCATGATGAGGAAGGTGGTGTTACCCGTGTGTCGGAGAAGAGGAGAATTAAGATGCAGGAGAATTAACTTGGCCTGGGTCACTTAGTAAATCTGTAGCTGAGCTGGGAATCAAGCCTGTATCTCCTCACATCCAGTGCAGGAGTTTTAGCTTTAAGACTATTTGGAATAGTAAAGATCATTTTAATAAAGGGGAGAAAGTTACACTTGAGTCAATTTTAAATACTTAATTTTTTTTAGGTGTCATTGGGGCACATTGAAACTGTAAGTGGTAACTGACATGTAACATGAAGCTCTTTGGAGGCTGAGAGAAAAATGAAAGTAGATTAGACTTTAGTACTTTTCTACAGAGTACTCCAGAATTAGAAAACACTTTTAGGACTCTAGAAAAGTTAACTCTATTTTTAGATTCCTTTATGGATAAGTGTGTGGGGTTTAGATTTCTTTAGATATTTTTTTCTTCCATATTTATGTGCAGGATAGGAATTACAACTAAAATCCTTTCAGGAGTTTTATTCTTTGGTTCCTGAATCCATGCCCATCAGGCATGACAGAATAACATTTGGTTTAGAAGCATCTTAATCTAGGTAATGCTTAAATTACACTGCTTGAAAGCAAGTGAGTTATTTGGCATGTCCGTGGGTTCAAGTTTAAGAATTTGAATACTGGTGTGACAAAACAAGGCAAGAGGAATTGTAACAATGTAGCTAGCTAAAGGCTTGGTTTCATTAACTGCTGAAGCTCTGGGTGTTGCTACTATCTGTAGGTATTGTGAAAGAGGCAAATTTTTACCGAGGGATGTATATAGATGAGGCATGTTTGACAAGACTTGTGCATAGCAGCAGGGTTCAACAGTATGTAAATTGTTGCATGTCCTTATTTGTGTCTGATCAGACCTGCTGGGAGTGTCACTGAAGTGGGATGTACGTGTCAGCTGTGCCCTTAAAACACACAAACCTCTCATTCTAGCGCAGGGGAGACAGCCTTAGGGATGCTGGGAACAGCAATGCTGGGAAGAATTACTAGACATGCACCTTGGGGAAGGTGCTCAGGAAGCAGCTCGGGGAGGTGTCTGGGAGCCCTTCTGGCAGCAGCTCCGTGCTGGGCTGGGCGCTGCCTGAGGCTACAACCCCGGGGCTGGCCAGGCGATGGAGCCTCCCGAGCCCTTCCCTGCACGCTCCCTGCCCTGCTGGGCTGGCCAGCAGCCCTTGTGCCACATCCCTGAGGCAGCACGTAGGAAGGGAGGGGAAACCGCCTGCACTGCAGACCTGAAGTCTGACCTGCAGCCTGGGCACCAGACCTCAGAACATGCTGCTCTATACGCTCAGTATCTCTGAACCATTCCATGCTTCAGCAAGCTGATGGTCCCGAGGGGTAGCAGCTTTCATAGAATCACAGAATCCTGAGCTTCTTGTTAATTAATGTTCTTGTATTGAAATCAGAAATGAGACATTCAAAGTAACTGCTGTAGCACGTTTTCTGCTTCTACTGGGAAGACATAAAATGGAGTTTTCAAGCCAAGAGAGTTAAGAGTATACCTTCCTGCACCTTTAATTTTCTTTTTTCCTTTTTGTTGTACAGTTTGATTTAGGTCAGTCTATAGGATTAAGATCTTGTTAACAGCAATGAATTGATATGCCAGCCATATACATTTCTGTTCACATCTCACAAAATCTATTAGAAGATACCCTGTTACCCTTAAAAGGTGCCAACTGAAGCTACAAAGCAAGTCATCTTTTGAAAGGTATTGTCACCATAGGTGACACCAGGTGTCAGAGATCATGGCAGTCTGGAAGTATTGGTGAGAGGGATGGTCTTGTTCTTCTTGTCAGGCTTTACCACTAGACTACAGGAAGCACCTTCTGTTGTTAAGGTCTCAAGTGCTCAGTCAGTTACCGGGCTGACAGTCAATATGCAGCCAAGGAAAGTTCTTGTATTTTCTTACACCACTGCTTCAGTGCCAGCAGCTGTTTGGATGGGGCACACTAGTCAGGAGATGCTTCCTATGGACAAGGAGGATTCCTCCTCCCAGGAAGTCATCTGTGTTTCTTCTGTGCATTCTCTGAGGCTCATGTATGCTTTAGCTGATTGGGTAATAAACATCTATATTAGCTGTTAAGCTTTGAATGGACCTTGTAAACTAGTCTGGCCAGCTCTCTTAGGCTGTTCTAGTTGCATGCAGTCTGCTCTTGACATACAGTCCTGAACAACAGCTGAAGAAAAGGTCTCTCTGTTTAGATTTTATAACATTAGCTTGGCATTATAAAGTGAACCTTTTATAATGCAGTAACTAAAATGTGGTCAAATACTACTTTTGACATATTTCCTGAACTTGATATCCTGCCTAATCTTAGTAAAACAAGGCATTGAAATTCCTGAGTGCCAGAATGCCAGATAATTTGGTGGGAAAGAATCCTGTTTTCTGATACACAAAGTGAAGCTTAAGGAGGAATTTATCACCCGTGGGTGGCTTCCATAGGGGGGGACCCTCTCCTCTGCCCCTCCCTCTATGCCCCCACAGAACTGCTGCAGACTCAATGCCCTGAGGACAGACCCAAGCCCGTGGCTGCTGGAGTGCCTATGGAAACTGGGATGGCCCTGCTGGAGCAGGGCATCCCCAAATCCCTCCTGAGGGGGCAGGGAGAGCAGGGCGCCAAGGAAATCGGCTCCCACTGACCTTGCCCTTCTTTTAGTGCCTGACAGGGCATTAATTTTTACTGTTAAAACATTAGAAAGGTAAGATAAGACTTCTGGGTGTGAGGAGGTTGTACCTTCTTTGCTGTGTTGGAATACAGAAAAAGGTTTAAAATTAGTAATTTCATTTTGGTAGTGTCTGTCACAGTCTGTTGTTCAAGGCTTGGCTGCTTCCTGTCCTCTTAGAAGGGGATTTGTCTGAGATACTAAAGGTCTCTCTGCCTCTACACAGGAGCAGTGCAGATGAGTTACAGTTCCTGAATGAGCTGAGTCTGCAGTTACTCTGCTGCTTGATATGAGCTGTCTGACTTGGTCTTTCAGACTCTTCAGTCTTTCTTAAAATTGAAAACACACAGTTTCTTACCCAGACAAGCCTGGGAGGGTTACTGTCACACAGCAGGGCCCACCCTTTCACTTGCTTACTCTGGGGCACCTTTCAACTCGACCAGCTTTCTAGAACTAACGTCTTGGATAGCTAGGGTGAGGAGAGATTCTTAAGAACGCTGTTGCACGTAGCCCATTTAATTTTTAATTAAGACTGAAAACTCGCCTCAGCCCTTCTCAATCCACTGCTGCTCCCGCCGCCTCTCCAGGTTAGAAACCTCTTCTGGCTCCAGCCAAGCTCTAGCTCAGCCCGGGCAGCCGGCTGGTTGCAGTGCCCGTGTCTGTACCGCCGCACAGCCCTGCCGGGGGCAGGTGGTCCTGCTCCTCCCGAGGGGACAGCAGGGGGACAGCAGGGTGCCAGCCCCGGCACAGGCCCCC